TGATTAAATTTACTTAATTAAATAATTAAATATTAATAATTTAATTAAAATTTTCAAAATTCAAATTTTTTCGTGGGGGGGAATTTTTTTTTCCTCTCTTGATTAGCGTCAAGTCCGAGGTCAGGGCAGGAAGGGACTGTCTGTGCATTGTTTGCCTCCCTCCCTTCTTCCCACCCCTGTTTTCTCTCCCCTCCTCTCGGTACTACGGACTTCAGCCTCCAGACACGTCAGCAGCAACGCAGAGTCGGGACTGCTAGATGCGCCGCAGCCAACGACTTGCTGAGCAAGGATCCAAAGGAACTCTGGCCCAGCAGGGCCCCAGGACATCTTGGATCCCGCAGAAACGACGTACGACCATGGCCGCTACCGCTGACGCCAATTCACAAGCCAGCCCCGTGAGGCCGGTTACTCCTATGCCAGTTCAGCAGGCAGATGAAACGCAAATAGCGTTTCTCGAACGTCTCCAGCTATACTCAGAGACCACTGCAGCTGAACTCCGCAAATGGGAACAGGAAGAAGCCGCCCGCCAGCAGGCGATCCAACGACAGCTGGCAGAGGCCGAGGCAGCGCGTCAGCAGGCCGCAGCAGAAGCTGCAGCAGCCGCACGGTTATAGCAACAGCAGACGGAGGCAAGTCAGAATCAAGTTCGTTACCAAGCCACAATGGAGCTCGCCAACGAAGAAGCCACGTACCGGAGGGTACTTCAACAGCAGCACTTTCAAGCAAACGAAGAACAAGAGGAGCCGACCGAGGAAAAGAGAAGCAAGGAGGCAATAGCAGTACTGATGGAAAACCTGCTGTACACGTGCAATTGGCAGCAGCGCGAATTGCTGGCCATGCGACAGATCTTCATCCGCTACGAAACAACTTTTTGGACGCTGGAACAGAAGATCGCCGCCTTGCAGACAATGAACAGCGACCAGCAGACCATCAACGACCAGTTGCAGACCACTGTCAGCACAGGGTTGGCACGACTGTCTGCAGTTGAGTCGACGGCCAGTGCAGTGGCAGACTGCAGCCCAGCTTTGGCCGCTCAAGCCAAGCAACTCGAAGAGCGGATAAACCACGTAGTCGCATCCCTTGGCAACATCAGCAAGTTCGCCGGGACGTCTACGGTCAGCAATCAGCTGCAGACGCTCAGCAACCGCGTTCAACAACGAACGGCCGCCGTCGTCAAGGAATGGAAGATGCCGAACTTCAAGATTGAGAAGTTCGGCGACTACCACAAGACCGATCAGCTGCAATGGTGGATGGCATTCAACGCGGAGGCGGACATAGATCACGTCCCACCACTGCGGCGGCTTGACGCGCTCTACCTCCAGCTCATTGGAGGCGCACAGGCATTCATGACTCACATGGCAGTCACGCTGGAATGCACCATCGCCACCCTCCACACCAAGATCTCTTGGGAAGACTTTGAGGAGAAGTGGAAGACCCGTTTCATGGTCAACAACGAGAAGCATCACGCATTGAACAAGATCTTCCGCATGTTTCAAGGCCAGCAACCATCACTGGAATGGCTGACGGAGTGGCAAAGACTCGTCGCCACCCCGGAGTTGAACCTGCTGTTCGACTCAATCCGGGCCGAGTTCTTCGCCCGGTCTTGCGACGCCTTGACAACTGCTCTTGGCAGCGAATTTCAGCATGAGACCTTTGATGCGATGATCTCAAAGGCAAGCGAACTCATACAAGGTAACCGGCGCGCGGCCAACGAGGCCCACCAACATCCCGGTTACGTGGAGAAAGGCAAAGGTCGGCGGATGCCCCAAGTAGCAGTGATCCAGCAAGGATCTAGTGAGGACCTCACAGCCGCTTCAAAATCAAGTGACGGAGATGTGGCGGCAGCGATACCACCGCAACGCTCAAGACCCCGTGGGGGAAAACATAAGGCGACAAAAAGCGTCGGCGGATGGAGCGATACAGTCACCATGGACGAAGTTCGGGATCACCGAAGACATGTGCAAGTTACGGATCGGGGTGCTGTTTATGGTGCAATAGCACCAAACGCATCACTAGTTTGTGCCAAGACAAGGACAAGGAAAATGTCAAGCATCCAGGCTCGGGAAACTGAGCACCGCGGGAAGTGCAGCGACATCACTTTCCAGTCCGCTGGACTCAGCTGCCTTGCTAGCAGTCTCTCTCACGTCCGGGGATGACGCAGTAGTCGCAAGTTCTCAGATCGACTTTGAGAACTATATTGTCCAGCTGGTCCCATCGTTGAACCAGCCTCTCCATGTGCAAGATTCAAGCGCATGCGCAGTGTTACCGCCGTCGGACAACGAACCGGTTGCTTCGCCAGCCCTTCTATCGGAGGATCCGTTAACTTGGGTGAGTCTTGAGGAACTCGACCCGTTGACGGTTGGGGACTTCCAATGGTTGCCTCTTCCCTCCACCGGTTCTTTGCCAACACCGCATTGCAACGCCCTGATGGCACATTTACGCGAATACTTGCACGCTGCAGTACCACCTTCGTCGACGGATGGCGGAATAGCGGTTGTTGACCTCCGTAGCTATCTTGCGAAGATCGACCGTGAGCACGCAACGCAACGGTACGTCGACATCGACGCGCCACTCCTCTACATCCGAATTCAGATCGGAAAGGCGACCTGCAGCGCCTTGATCAATTGTGGAGTGACTCGCAATCACATCAGCAAAGACTTTATGGCACGCACCGGGCTTGGCCCGCACGTTCGAAGGGAAAGTCAGCCTACGCACGTCACGTTGGCCGACGGTCACACGCAAAAGTCAATCGACCGCTGCGTTGACTCCGTGCCCGTGTACTTTGGCCCGCTAGCATGCGAGGCCGTGTCATTCGACATATTGGACACTTAGTTCGATATGATCTAAGGGATGTTGTGGCTGCAAAGCGAAGACCATCCAGTAAACTTTTTTCGACGCACCGTTCACTTTCGTGATCGGCGTGGCGAACTAGTTCCTTGCACGGTGCCGCTTCCTCATCCTTCGATTGGTTGTCACGTGGTCTTCGTGGCGAGCGTTCGCCAATCCATCCGTCGGCACGACATCGAGGAGATGGGCATGTGTTTTCTTCACGCCCTCCCACCCGGTGATCAGTCGAAGACGGCCACATCGGACCCACGCATCATTGCGCTTTTTGACAACTATGAAGATGTCTTCCAAGCTCCCGCCGGAGTAGTACCGGATCGGCCCATACTCCACAGGATCACTCTCAAGGACGGCGCCGTACCTCCGCGTGGATGCATCTACCGAATGAGTGAAGAGGAGCTTCACGTGCTTCGGCACAACTAGACGACCTCTTGGCCAAGAGCTGGATTCGCCCTAGCTGTTCGCCATACGGTGCTCCCGTTCTCTTCGTCCGGAAGAAGAACAAGGACCTTCATTTGTGTATCGACTATCGGAAACTTAACGCGCAAACCATCAAGAATGTCGGCCCTCTCCCTCGGATCGATGATCTTCTCGAGCGACTAGGCGGCGCCAAATACTTCTCGAAGCTTGACCTCAAATCCGAATATCACCAGATCGAGATCCAGCCAAGAGATCGATACAAGACCGCGTTCAACACGCGATATGGGCACTTTGAGTGGATCGTCATCCCTTTCGGTCTCACCAATGCCCCGACCGCTTTCCAAGCGGCTATAACGACGGAATTCCGCGACCTACTCGACTGCACCGTACTCATTTACCTTAATGATATCTTGGTTTATAGCCGGTCGCTGGACGAGCACCTCCAACACCTTCGCACTGTTTTGGAGTGGCTCCGTATCGCCAAGTACAAGGCGAACCGCGACAAATGCGAGTTTGCCCAGCAAGAACTGGAGTATTTGGGCCATTACGTTACACCGCAAGGCATTCGTCCGCTTGCGGACAAAGTACAAGCCATTCAAGATTGGTCGGACCTCACGTGTACTACCGACGTCCGCTCCTTTCTCGGCTTAGCATCATACTACATGCGCTTCGTCAAGAGCTTCCAACGGATCGCTGCACCATTGTCGCGACTTTAATCCCCCTTGGTGCCCTCAAGTTCAACGACGAAGCCCGACATGCATACGCTGAAGACGACTTTGCTTCAAGCTCCCATCTTAAACATCTATGGCCCGACCTTGCCTACCAAAGTAACTACGGATGCTTCCGGTTACGACATTGGCGCGGTTTTGGAACAGCATGATGGAACAGACTAGCATCCGGTTGAATACTGCAGCCAAAAGGTGCCGCCCATCAATTCTCTTGATGATGCGAGGAAGAAGGAATTGCTAGCTTTTGTCACAGTACTCAAGCATTGGCATCACTTTCTCCTCAGGCGTCGGCGATTCATGTGGGCATTGGACAACAATCCGTTGACTTATTACAAGACGGAAGACACGGTGAGCAGCACGATCAGTCCCTGGATGTATTTCATTGACCAGTTCGACTTCACCTCCAAGCATATTTCGGGCCCCTCGAACAAGGCAGCGGATGCTCTCTCGCGAAGGCCTGATCTTTGCGCCTTGGTGCACTCCACATTCGGCCTCGACGAGGACCTGCAACAGCATTTCGTACACGGCTACAAGTCATCCGGGATTCTCTACACTCTACACGGACTTATCATCGGATCACCCGCCGGCAAGCAATTATCGCATTGTCGACGGCTACTTGCTTCTCCATATGTGAGGCAAAGATTTGTTGTGTGTTCCCCAAGACCGCATCTTGCGCACTCGCCTCCTTGGCGAATACCACAATTCGCAGTTGGCGGTACACCTTGGTGTCGCACGCACACTGGCACGACTCCGCCAGCGATTTCACTGGCCGGACAACATCAGCGACGTCAACCGGTACATTCAGTCATGTGCAACTTGCCACCGTAACAAAGGGCGCCAGCAGCTCCGTACGGCGAACTGAAACCATTGTCGATTCCTCGGGAACCAGGTCTCTTCATTGCTATGGATGTGACCGGTCCTTTCCCTCGCGATCACCTTGGCCATGATGGTATTCTCACGGTCGTCAACCATTTGAGCAAGCACGCTCGATTTCTTCCATGAAAGTATCATGCGACGGCTCCCGAGCTAGCACGACTTTTGCATACCGGCTGGTTTTGCAGCCACGGCGTTCCAGAAGACATCGTGAGCGACCGCGACACTCGTTTCATGTCAGCCTTTTGGACGACACTCATGGTGGAATCCGGCACCAGCATGAAACCAAGTTTTGCACGGTATCCTCAAACGGATGGGCAAACGGAACATGCGCACCAGACTGCGTAGATGATGCTCCGCACACTCATCCGCCTAGATCAAAAGGACTGGGTTGACCATCTTCTCGACATCGAGTTCGCCTACAACACTTTAGTGCACCCGGCGATCGGTGTAACTCCATTCGAGTTGCATCACGGTGGACGGAAAGGTCGGTATCTTCGCAGACATTTTGCTTCCACGGACTGCCGATATCGACGCCGCTTGCTCCCCCGCTTCCACACGGAAGTATAGGGATCTGCTGGCCAAAGCCCGCGCAAATATGCAAAAGGCTCAGGTCCGTATGCAGCAGCAAACGAACCGGCGTCGCATCCCATGTCCAATCCGCGCTGGCGACCTTGTTTGGGTCACCTCCGAGGAATTCGTGATCGAGCAGCACGTCTCGCGCAAGCTCCTCCCTAAGTGGTTTGGGCCATGGAAGGTCACTTCAGCAGCTGGCAACGACCCCGCGGGTCCCTCCATAATCGAGATTCCCCCGCATCTGACAGTCCACCCTGTATTTCACGCTTCGAAGCTGGCGGTCTACACTCCAGCCTCACGAATGGAATTCCCAGGCAGACGGTCCCACGACCCTCCTTCGATGGACGCTCACCAGGAGGTCGACCGCGTCCTCGCTCATCCCAAGCACGGCAACAAGCCGATGCGGTACAAAGTTACATTCAAGCAATGCGATCCCGACGACACACGCTGGATTTCACGAGCTGACCTGAAGGCGA